TGACCCAAAACATCAGCTTTCCTGCTCCTCCGATGCTGCCTGGCCTGCTGTGTTCCTCTAGCTCCACACTGTGTAATCTCAGACTCCAGCAATGGCAGTTCTTACTATCTCAGAGAATTTAACAATATCGCTTTGCAATTCAGTGGTATTACCAGCAGTGAATCCATCACTATCAACATCTTTGGTCGGACCACTGATGAGAAACTGAACTGGATGAGCCGGATAAATACATGGCTACAACAGCAGGTTAAAAGGCAAGTAATGCTGCTGCAATTAACGGATCTTCTGTCTCTCCAGTGACTGCCTATCATCGACAAGGCACAAGTCAGAAATGAGAAAGCATACTCTCCACTTGCCTGGATGGGTGCAGCTCAAAACAAAACTGAAGAAGCTCAATACAATTCAGAACAAAATAGCCCTCTTGACTGGCATATCATCCACCACCTCAACATTCAATCCCTTTTCCAGCAATACACAGTAGCTGCAGTGTGTATACCATCTGTAAGATGCAGCAACTCACCATAGCTGCTTCAATGACAAGTTACAAACCCACAGCCTCTACCATCTGAAAAGGAGATGGGCAGTGGGTGCACTCCAACAAGTTAAACTCAAAATTACACACCATCTTAACTTGGAACAACATCACCCTTTCTTCACGGTCACTGGAATTCCTTTCCTAAGAGTAAGTAGAATGTTCCGGCACCTCAATGACTGCAGTGGCTCAAGAACACACATCATGGCAACCTTCGAGGGTAATTAGGGCCTGGTCAAGAAATGCTAGCCGAACCAGTGACACCCATTTTCCGTGAATAAAGTTTTAAAAATTACAGGACAAACCACAACATAAAATTAATGACAATAAATCTTCAGTAAATCCGAGTGCCCTATTCGGCTGAAAATTCATGTTATAGCTTGTATTCTTAAAATAGGTTTCTAACATTTCTACATTTCAAATTTTGCAGACCAAAAGTAAAATATCCATTTCCCATCCACCAATCTTTCATGCAAGTCTCCCAATCAAGTGAATATTAATTCTTTTCTCATCCAAGCCACCACCAGATGGAGCATTTCAGTCAGAAAGCTTCATTAACAAGCCAAATGCAATCATACCTCCTGATACAAAGTGTCACCCCTAATACATTGAAAAGAACAGTGATAAAAATATTTCTATGAAATGAAACAAAGTGGTAGTGGGAGAAGAGAATGCAATTAGTAACTGTATAAAAAATTAACAACTACATTTTTGGCTCAAAATTTCTGTACATTTGTCTTTGCAAAGTATCATATTTTGGTTTGAAGATGGCAAATTACAGTTCTGTTACTGGCCTGAGTGAAATGAAGCTGTTATTTTATAAATAGTAATTCTGACATAGGGAATGCTACATGATGTCACAGAGGCAGATATGACCTCTCTGGTAGGAAATGATCATTCCCTGACACACGTTTTGCAAATACTACTTCCCACTTAAAATGTCCAGGATTTTTTGTGCACAGGCTTGAATTTAGAAGCTTGACTACTTAAAAAACTGTGAATGGAACCACTGTGCAATTGCTTGCATCAGCTTCACTTTTGAACTTGTGATCAATGGAAAGCCATTGAAAAATATTTATGCTGAGGTTGCTACCATGAGGAAATCCTGCAGTGAAGGCCTGCAGCTGAGATGATTGGCTTCAACAACTGGAACCACTTTCCGTCATGCAAGGTACTACTTCACTGGGAAATTTTTCTAGCACTCTTTGGTCTCACTTAATCAAATTCTTCAATAATAGATTAGTTAATCTGCAGGTCATCCAAAACTGCTAACTGGCACCAGGTCCTGTTCGCTGCCCTATGTTGGCTGAGTTAAGCAATGCCTCAGTTTTAATATTCTCATCGCTCTTTCCAAATCCTGACATGGCCTCTTCCCGTCCCGTATCTGTGAATTCCTCCAGTTGTACAATCGCTAAAGATTGTTACGCCTTTCCAATTCTGACCACTAATAATTATAATTAAGGATCTTTTGAGATGTGAAGGTGCTGGTGTTGGACTGGGATAGACAAGGTCAGAATCACACAATACCAGGTTATAACCCAACAGCTTTATTTAAAATCACAAGCTTTGGAGCACTGCTCCTTCATCAGGTTTCAAATAAACCTGTTGGACTATTACCCGGTGTCACGTGACTTCTGACCTTAATTATTAGTGGCCATGCCTTCAGCTGCAAAGGACCTAAGCTCTGTAACTTCCTCTCAAAATGTCTTCAGCTCTCAACTGACGTTCATTCCTTTAAGATGCTATTTAAAAGTTCATATGACCTAAAATCTCCTCTTCTTTCAGCCAATTCTGCGAAGCACTTTAATACTTTATGCAAGTATTGTATGAATACAAGTTAGTTTTGGATTATATATAGGCATCCCACGATTGCTTCACCATATGAATTCATCCCATCTCTATGTTTCAACCAAGACTGCAACCAAGTCAGAAACCAAATGGTTTTGGAGGAATCCAAACTTTACACACTGGACAGAATAAGCACAGGCCCTTGAAATTACCTGCCCGTAGTACTGAGGACTTATGCTCCATAATGAGCTGCACCAATGAATTAGTGGCTAAGTGCTATTTGATCGTTGCTAATAAATCTTTTCATTGCTCCATTCATGAATGCAAGAACTATGATGGAGCCAAGTTGGATTTGCTCTGCTGAGGACAAAATATGTATGTGTCTATTTTCTACATTGTTGGATAGATGCTCATTTGCATCTATCGAAGAACACTTAAAGCTGCAGCTAGCTTTGGAGCACATATCATCAGCATTATAATGGGTTATTGCTGTGGTGCTAAGCCTTAGCTTTGTCCAATCTGACAAACCATTTGATGTTATGAGGAATGAAATAAACTGGCCAAAAACTGGCAGTTGTAACAGTTGGCTCCTCAGAAGGAGATCAACACAGATCACCTACTGATCAATGGATGAAGATGGTTGTAAACACGTCAACTTCTACTTTTATAAGAAAATGCTGGATTCTTCAAAATTAAGAATGGGGTTGTTCATACAAGCTGCCTCCTCCCATTAGGTAGCATACAATTCAGTCCAATTTTGTTTCTTTCTGACAGCTTTATTAGATTGTTCAAAGTCATTCATGTTAGTATGGAACTTATGACAGACATAGAAAAAGGAGACCTGATAAAACCAGTTGGATTTTTATGACAATCCAACAGCATCACGACCATTTTCACCAGAGCTTTTGATGTTACAAATGGTTTTCAAAATTGAACCTAAATTCTCAAGCTGCCATGGTGGGAGACAAATTCATTCCCCTAGATTCTCCGTTAACCAAGGAACTTTTTAAACAGACAAGGTTCAAGAAAACCAAAGTAGTTGTATAATTCAAAGATGACACAGGAGGGCAAATGTCCTTCATGAAGGTCCCACTCAAAAGATCTGTTCTCTAACCAAACTGCGACAACTTGCATAACACCTCAAACATCATGAAACATCCCAAGGAACTAAAACCTGCAATACATTTCCAATTTAGTTTTCCAGATTTCAAGTGTCAGAATCCTATGTTTCCGTAAAGCTGCAAAATACATGCCCTGAATTGCATCTTACCTTCCTGAGTATTGCCTGAGTTTGTCGTACAACGTTAAGGCAGCAGCCTCTTCATCTCCGTCAGCACTTTCCTGGTCCATAGTATTTTCCTCTAGAAGCAGTAAACCACTGGAGTCAAGATACTCGTTTAAACATGCAAAAGTGAAGTTTTACTGGGACATCAAAGACAGTTTTTTTTTGTGCTGGCGAGGAGTGGAATTGGAGTTTCAAATGTCACCATGCACTGAAGATTGGTTAACAGTACGAACAAATGAATCAGTCTGTTTTTGCAGAATGTAATTAGGAAGATACCATAAGAATCACTGCTTAGGTCTCAGCTAGTAACTATATACAAGAAGGACTCAATTGACAAAGCAGAGTATAATTTGTCTAAATTTACTAATGATACAAAATCAGATGCGAAAGTAAGCTACGGGGAGTAGCAAAGAGGCTACAATGGGAGCGTACTAAAAGTTACGATTGGTAACAATGGAACATAAAAGGTGGGAAATCTGAAATTAACTTTGGAAAGGAAACAAAACCAGAATCTGTTTTAACTGGAGACAGTGTGGAAAATGTTGGCAGAGGGGCAAGGCATGCTTTTATATGAATCACATGAAGTTAATGTGCCAGTATAACAAGTTATTAGGAAAGCAAATTCTATGCCAGCTTTTCTAAACAGGGGTTAATGTATAAAAGTGAAAAAGCTTTGTTTCAACAGTATTTAGTCTTAACGAGGCACTACTTGTGCAGTTTTGGCCTTCTAACCTCAGGAAGAGCACAATAAAAGTTCACTGGAATAATCTCATAGATGAAGAGAAATGCTGTGAATAAAGAAACATTTTGAACTTAGTTTTCTTAGATTACCTGTTGAAGACGTCAGTAAAATCTGTACAATGTGTGCTGTCGTAACCAAATGGAAGAGATGAAGGTGACCAACAGCTAAGCTAACTCCTGTGAAATCTTGGCAGTGCAGAGCTGGGTAAGAAAGCACGAGGCTCACCTGTAGGGAGAACAACTGTTACAAAAAAATGCCACGGGAACACTATTTTAGAGGGAGGAATGAGGAAATAGAACTTTGAACAATTAACTCAAACATAACATTGTTGATAAATAAAATGACAGCTGGCTGTACAATGGACAGCTGCCAAAATATGAAAATGACTCCAAAATGATGGCAAAAAGAAAGAGGAACATGGCTGTAAGATTTTAAGCAAAATAATGCAGGAGAAATAGGAGAAAAACGTTTTCTAAAAATCAGCAAGTAGGAATGACCAAGAAGGCACTGCCTGCAGAGGGCAGTGGATGCCATGACAAGCAATGAATTACAAAGTAAATTAGAAAGACGATTAAGGGAAATAAGCTTCCAGAGCTAAGGGGACAAAGTTGGGGATGAGGTTAAATGATTTGCTCTACGAAGTGTAGGCATAAACTCCAAGGGCCAAATAGTTGTCAAAGTGGATTATAAAAAAGCCAGTTCAAGTGCTTGAAAGGATCCTTTGAAGTCAATAGATGTACAAAATACTAACACACACTTACTGCTAAAATTCCATTGCTGTCACTCACTCCAAATGTTGCTGGGCCAAGTAGACAATACAAGGCAGGATAACAAATTTAATTCAAGATCTGACAGTGGAATAAGATCATGATGGAAAGCAGAAAAGGAACTGGCTTATAAACCTTTGTCATTATAAAATTTTAGTTAAGAAAACTGTACTTGTCAGAAAAAATTAGGATATGATTTTATTGAAATTTGATTCAAACATAAAAGGTGATATTGTAATAAACCCTCAATATCACTGATTTCATACAATAGAAAAACCCTTACGTGTTTTCTAAAATCAAAGCCACAAACGAAAGAGTTTGATGTTCCAATATTAAATGTCACTTAAAAATGGATGTACTCTTTCTGTTAATGTCAGTTAAGTTTTGAAGAAACTCCAAGTTATTTTAGGGAACATGAAAAAGGGTATCAAATTGGTTTTGTACTTACATCAATAGTATTTCCAAGTAACTGAAACAAAATAGTTCGCTTAGTAAACCTAGTCTCAGTGAATAATCACAAAAATTAAGAAGTTAAGAAAGAAATTACCTACCAATAAATGGAACATGTCTACATCAAGAATGGATGGAGAAATCTGAGTCTTATCATCATCAGGTATCAGAACTGAAAGGGAAAAATCCATAGAAAGCTAAGTTTCCTTTCTCCAGGCCAAGTACTGCACACCAATTTATTAAAACTGCATTTTGATCTATGTTGAATTAATATCAAAAGTGGCATATGACTTGTAAATGAGCTTTCTGAAGTTATAATTATAGTCAAATATCCAAATGATACAGCACACAAACCTGATAACAGTCGAGCATATTGTTTCTGGACCACAGACAAAGAACTCACAGTCCACTGTGATGCGGCAAATCGAGTTAATGCCTTCAGACAGTCATCCTATAAAACACAATTCTAGCTGCAGAAAACATCTGAAAATATAGCTCATACAAAAACAGCAAAAGAATTTGCATTCAGGTGGTGTCTTTCATGACCGGTGAACATCCTAAAGCATTTCAAAGCCGATAATTTACGCAAGTTAAAATACAACAATAACGTGCATAATTTCTGGAATAACCTGTGTTATTTAAATTCTGGAGCACTTCCCAATGACCAAGTATCTTAATTCCTTGCACCAAATAACAAGTTTAAAAACAGAACAAACTTGGAGACTGAGGCTAAGCCGCTGCGGAGATAGCTATGGGGAAACAAGGAAATGGGAGTTAAACAGATAATTTACACCAGTCTTCACAGTGACGATACTTCAAACAAACCATTAATATTTAAAAATAAGGGAGGAGGATTTAAGGACTATCACCACCATGAGAGAAGTAGTACTAGCCTGATGAGGCTAAAGGCAGGTACATCCTCTGACCCTGATGGCTTGCATCGTAGGACCCTAAAAGTAGTAGCAACAGTATTAGCAGATGCTTTGGTTGCAATTTTCTAAAATCTGTAGATTCAGGAGAATTCCTGGAGGATTGGAAAACTGCCAATATGACATCCCAATTCAGAAAGGGAAGGCAGCAAAAAGCTGTTAACTACAGGCCAATTATCCTGTTGGAAAAAATTGTTGGAATCAATTAATAAGTAACAGCAGCCCATTTGGAAAATCATAACCTAATCTCAGTCAGCATGGCTTCATGAAAGGGAAATGGTGTCTCACTAATTTATTAGTTTTTCGAGGAAGTATCAACCAAAATGGATAAAGGGGAACCAGAACATATGTTGTATTTGGACTTCCATAAGACATGCAACAAGGTACCTCACAAAAGGTTAAGTCATTAAACAAGAGCCCCTGGTGTTGGAGGCAGTATATTGCCATGGATAGAGAATTGGTTAATGGGCAGGAAACAGCAAGTGGAGATAAGGGACCCCTTGTCAGGTTAACAATCTGTAACCAGTAGGATTCCCCAGAGATCAGTGCTGAGTCCGTGAGTGTTTACAACATATATTAATGATTGGAGGAAGGAAGCAAATATATTGTGGCCATATTTACAGATAACTAAAATAGGTAGAAAGGCAAGTTGTGACAGGGATACTAACAGTTTACAGAGAAATAGTGATAGGTTAAATAAGTGGGCAAAAAGCTGGCAAATGAAGTACGATGTAGGAAAATATTAAAGTTGCTCATTCTGGAAGGGAGAACAACCAACACCATTATTTAAATGGAGCAAAACTACAGAATGCTGCAACTCAGAAGGGACTTCAGAGTACTTGAGCACAAAACACAGAAAGGAAACTCACAGGTGTAGCAGGAAGGCTAAAGTAAAGCTGGCCCTTATTTCAAGGAGGTTGGAATACAAGAGGAGGGAAGTTTTACTGCAATTGTACAAGGTGCTGGTGAGACCAGGTCTGAAGTAATGAGAGCAGTTTTGGTTCCCTTATTTACAGAAAGGCATAATTTCATTGAAGTTATTTCAGAGATGGTTCACTAGGATGATCCCAGGTATGGAGGGATTGTTTAATGAACAAAGACTAAAACAGGTTAGGTCTTCACTCATTGGAATTTAGAAGAATTAGCAATTATCTCATTGAGACATAGTGGATTCTTAAAGGACTTGACAGGGTAAATGCTAAGATGATTTTTCTCCCCATGGGGGAGTCCACGGCCAGAGGACATAGTCTCAGAATAAAGGAGCCCCAATTTAAGACTGAGATGAGGGGGGGGGGGGGGGGGGAAGTTTCTTTGTTCAGAGGGTGGACTGTCTTTGGAAATCCCTGCCACACAGTTGTGGGGGCAAAGTCCTTATGTATATTTAGGGCTGAGATAGATAGATTCTTGATCAGTAGGGGAATCAAGGGTTACCAAAAAAGTGGATGTGAGGAATGCTCGATAAGCTATGTTTTAGTGAATGGCAGAACAGACTCGAGGGGGGCGAATTACATACTCCTGCTGCTACTTCTTATGGCTACGGTCTTATATACATATTCTGCATGCTAAGGTTTTTCCAGTAAGACTGTTGACAACATCGTCATCAGCATTTTTAAAATCCTTCCTGAAAAAATTCAAAAGCTGTTTACATTTTCAAACGTAATCTCTCATTCATTGTTTGCTCAACAGTCCTTATACATCTTCATCATTCCTACCTGCCTACATGGTAGAGGACCAAACAGTGGCTTTTCTTCATCTGCTAGGAAACGCTCTGGAAAAGAAAGAATAAAAAACATTTCTAAATGCTTACTCGAGTCTTGTTGAAGATTGATAAATTTCAAATATTAAACTTTGCTAAAAGGAAATAAGTCAGCTTTTAAGTTCTGTACTATGAAGCAATTAATTTCAGCTGTCTATACAAAATAGTCCACCACTTGGTAAATTTTACACAACGTACAACTCTTATTTAATATCAGTTTTATAGAATAAAGTCAACAAGGTTTTAAAATTATGACTCAGACGACAGTTTACTTAGCAAACAAAGCTGCTTATTAAAAGTAAATGCACTTAATTTTGTTAATAAAACATTTAAATAAACATCCTGATTTAAATAGAGTACGCATTCTCCGAGGCTCACCTATTGCTTGTACTGTGTACGCACAGCTGCCCCGGCACATCATAGGCACTCGTGGGTCCTGTTCATTGGGATGAACCTTGAGACCCACTTTGTATGTTGCTGTAGCCAAGGTTGTAAGCATCCCCTTGATGCTTTCTGAGAAAGGATTCCTATTAACAGAAATGGAAAACCACTGCAAGAAACCTCTCAACCAGAAATATCTAAAAACGCTTAAGAGCAAGCTTCAAGGTTTTTTCTTTTTCATTCAGAGGATGAAGGCATTGTTGGCCTAGCCTGCATTCGATCCTCCAGCCAGAGGTCTGCTGCTCGCCAGCTCCTTTTCCTTGCTTTCTTTTTTTCCCCTCTTGTTGCAGTTTTTCTTCCCACCACCCCCCAACTTTTAACTTCTTAAAGTAGCCTACCTGGAAGGAATGGAGAACGGAGTCCTAGACCAGCCCAACGCAGGAGTGGGAGCAGAGCGAGTTCGGGCCAACTCCTGGAAGTGAGCCACAGCCAGAGGGGGAGCAGAGCTACTGCGGACCAAGTCCCGGAAGTGAGCCACGGCCAGAGCCTGGAGCGGGAGCATAGCGAGTGCGAGCCGGGTAGGGGGACAGAGTCCTGGAGGTGAGGCCGGGACAGATGCCAGTGCATGGAGACAGTGAGGCCTCGAGTTCTGAAGCCTAGCGGGGCACGGACTCAGTGGAAAAGGACTATTACTCGAGTACTTGAAAGATACTTTTTATCATCATTCCGGACTTTTTAAAACACCGTATGCCCACGTTAGTCTATTTTTTCAATTCTGTAACAACACAAAATATCTATAACTAGGTACCCTGTAGCTAAGATGGTGCCGCGAGGCAACATTACAAACTTTTCACTGCACTCATTTGAGTACACGTGACAATAAAGGTTAGTCTATTAGACTCCATTTCCAGTATTTATTGAATTCAAATTCCACCATCTGCCATGGTGGGATTTGAATCCAGGTCCCTACTACATTACTGGGGTCTCCAGATCAACAGTCTAGCGATAATACCACTGGGCCAGCACCTGCCCATATCAAGCCGACCGAACTTGAAAGAATAATGGCTTGATGTTGTAAATGGGTGCATTAAAGAAATCTGCTTAATTCACCATAAAGCTGATTTGTTTTCCTCAACAATGAAGTCTCCAGTATCTTTACTGTGATATCAAGAAATGCTAGGAACAATCTGTGGCTGGAAAGATCACCAAAAGATAGGATGTCCTATAGGTTAACATGCTTATTGCCTAAGAGATGACATCAGATGCAAATGACCTTAAAGAAACACAGGATAACAAGGACAGAACTCCAAACTCTATTTTCTGCACAGGCAGTCCAACAATGATTGCCACAGATTAAAAAAAAGGTGTTCTATAAATGTTCACTTTGGTTTTAGTCTCCAGATGGAATATCATATTTGAAACGATAGATGGTGCAGCTCTAATTTATGATTTCATAACAAACCGTAAAGGTAAAGAAAATTAGGGCTACCTTGAAATTAATACAACTGTTGACTGATCAAGTTACATACTTTGGTTTTACATCAGGTTGAAATCCCTCAGGGACCTCCATTCCTTCTAGGTGGGTGTTGGAGAGGTTATCTGAAAGGAAAAATAAATGGAAATACCGTGACTGATCTGGTGATCTTGTAAAACTATTGTGTGTTGCAAATTTATAAACTAGTTATATGCTCATACAATGAAGCTCATTTAAAGCCAACTCTGAAAACTCAAATCAAGGGTGGGCAACTAAATAAAATTTAAAACCACATGGAAACCTTGAAATATTTCTTTCCTTTATAAAAATATTAATTTTTCTAGCACCCGGAATATATATAAAAGAACCTGCATGTCATTTTGGGTCATTGAAGTCAGAACCTTCCCAGGTTAATCACTAACTGTTTGATGTATGCCTGTCTTGTCAAGTGCTTCCAGAATTCTGTTTTTAAATCGCATATTAACATTGGCGGGGAGGGTTTGCAGAACATAAATAGACAGAAAAGTAAATGTATATTTCAAAATTGAATTTTTGAATATGATTAATGAAATTTAGCAACTTTTAAGTAAAAGAAAGCACTACATCAGTTAGTTTGAATTTTGAGTAGTGAGTTCAACCCGATATGAGAGGTCCTGGTTCTCTCTCCATAGAAGTTAACTGGCCTGCTGAGTAGTTCAGATTTCCAGGATTCACAGCATTATGATACAATCTTAACTGGAGACAAACACACATAACTCACTTCCATTGTTGAATGACAGCAGTTGTAGCATTAGCAATGTAGTTTTCCAGATCCTTTACTAAATTGTCATGACTTTGCCCATGACTTCACATTGCTTCAGAACACAGGATTTTAGTAAACATGGTTCAAATTCAAGAATTTTAATATGGGTGACAATTTGACTCGCGGTTCTTCGAACAAAAGAACTGTAGCCTGAATGGCACACAATGAGAAACAAATATGATCACATATAACCCATTAAAATAATAAACTGTTTCTTGTGAGGCATCCTATATTAGATTCTCAAGTGTGAGATCAAGTTAGGGTTCTTTAGGTGAGAGCTATTTTATGATGCACATGAGACAGGAATTTGGAGATATTCTGAAGTTTTCATCACTTATTTTACTTGTCCAATTAACAATTTCATCTTGAAAGGTCTATATAGATGGGTGACCTTTTATAGATAAATGTTAGACAAACTTGACTGTTCAATACCATATCACAGGCAGAAGTATAAATTATCTTTCCTATGAAAAATCTCCCTTATAATCATAGAAATTTGTATTTTGCAGCAAGATATTTTCACTTATGTTCTCATTTTATTGTATGTATAACAAAGGACATCAAACAAAAATTAAGCATACATCTGATCTTTTTTTTTTGAAGTACCTGTTTGCTTTTCTTGGATTTTCTTCAGGACCTTCAACTGTTGCAATGTACGTTTCAGCCAACTCGATAAAACAGGAACACTTGCATTGTTTTTTGAACTGTCACTGAAAACAAAAGCACAGGTTTAATGAAACTGGTAAATGTGCCCAAGTTTCCTCTTAAATCAAATATTTTGCTCCAGTGTTGCTTCTCGAACTGAGTCAAGTAAAACATACAATAACTTGAGCATTTAAATGAACAAAATCTCAACATCAATGTCTCAGGAGATTAACTTGCAAAAAAATAAACTGAAGTTAGCAAACCACAATCTTGAGGGATTTTCCAGAACGGCAAGCACGCAATCTTTTGTTTTACTTGCAGAAGTTGTCAATAAACAAACTCAACATTCAACTACTTAATGTATGTATTCAATGAAGACATTTACAAGTAAGTACTCCAACTGATACAGATTAGACTCAGGAGCACGATATGATGATTATATCTATGGAGTTGGTTGAAGAAGAAATGGTCCAGATCTCTGGCACTCAGTACTGTTGGAGACCAGGCATCTGCTCAGCCCCAGGAGGAAGACAATTCTATGGTCACAGCCAAAAATGACTTTGTGCAAAGGCACAGGCCCCACTAATCAGCCAACTGTTTAGCTAGTATGGAAAGATCCCAAAATGTAATTTTCTAGGAATACATTTTCATCTGCAAAATACCACAGTATTTTGACAATATTGACATGTGATGAGGAGGCATGCATTATGATATTTTACAGCAATGTTTTTTTTCCTTGAAAATTTTCTTCGTTTTTTGGGTTTTCTTAAATATTCTTAAGGGTCAAAACTAAACCTTTTACATTGAACTTACCATGACTTATCCAGTTTTACACCATTTCCATAATCTCTTGTACAAATCTGTTTTGTACAGCCTCGGCCCTGTTCATATCGCTGACACTGCAACTAAGGCAAGTCTCCCAATTATTTTCTTCTTTCTTGTAACTGCAGTGCAACAGCTTCATTTATTCTCCTAGCTTATGTAGCACTCTTCAACACGTGTAAATATGCAATTGTATTGTTCGGTGGCTCTATTTCTATTTGTCCTAACACAACTGACACCATTCCAGCAATGTTTCCTCCTCCCTTTCCACATGGTTATCTTGGATAACCGCAACACTTCATCCTTGATATTTTCTGTATGTATACTGTTGTGACCCAGCTCTAGATCTCCAATTCCTTCAGCCACCTTTATTAAAATGATATATCTAGGATTAATTCATCAACGAAATACAAGTTTCTTCAATCGAGCATTTGGTCCAGATCAAATTACACATGAGAAATCCACTCCAGAATCCTAAAATTGCTGGGAAAAATTTACTCATGGGTTAACCAGATAAAAGTTACTCCCATGAATAGAATGGAAGGCAATGGTGAGGAAGCACACTTGTTGAGTACTGCTGCTCATCTTGCTCCTCCAACCACAGGGCGATTCCTTGCTTACTGCTGACAGGTTCACTATGAAATACAGAGTGCTGGAGAAACTCATCAGTCTAGCAGCATCAGTGGAGAAAAAAAAACAAAGTTAATGTTTGGAGTCTGATACAACTTCTTCTGAATAGGCTCACTATAAACCATTCATCAGCAAATGTGGAAGAGAACCAGTCTGTGATTGAAGCAGTGAGTGGCCACTGGTCAACAAAACAAGAGGAATTGAGGGTGGTAACAGAAGCAAAGGTGGGCTACTGGGCAAAGGACCAAGAGTAACAAGCAATGCTAACAGGCCTGGGGTGGGATAGCTGTCAGGGGTTGGACAGGCTGCAGAGTAAAGGTCAGGCAGACAGACTGTGAAAATAAGTTCAGGTGCAGGAAAAGAAGAATTGTCAAGGGGAAGTGGGGGCTCCCAAAGGTGACAAATATGTTCTGGAAAGGATGAGATGCTTGAAAGGGAAGAGTGGGCCTGCAAAAGGAAGAACACAGTTTTTGATTTTCTATAACAGAATACTCACCTAACTGGGCACATGGAAACTGAGGTAATGAACTCCTTACAAAGTAAGGTGAAGTTTCTAGATTTAAAACGTGAGTTCAGGAACTACTAGAAAGGGGACAGTGATGGAAGCTGTTATAATGAACACTATGTCAATTGCATAATTTAATATTGAACAGTTGTATTTCATAAAGCTTTACATCTTGGTTTATTACAGCTCAAGTCTTCTCACGTTATGAATTACTGGAGATGCAGTGTTAAAACAAACATGCCTGTTTTGCTGTGACCTTGCCCGACAACAGAAATTGTTTTTACAGTAATGGCATCTTGAACATAGAGGCATATCAGTTTATTAAAACAATTATTACTAACTTGTGCCTATTGTCTTATGCCAATTTAAATATTGCAGTATACAAGAAATTAATGGTTTCCTCGTGAGTTGCAACGTTAAGTTTAGTGGAGTGGTGATGATCGAGTTATTTGAATTCTGCTTCTGAGAACTCAAATGCACCATATAGCAACAAAAAAAAAGATAGTATTGTTGCTCAATTATTGCATTAGCAAATGAACAAGTTAGTGAGACCGAGAAAAAGGAGCCAGTGAAAACAAAAAGCAGCCTTTGAAAATTTAGAAGTAGTCCTCAAAAGAAAGCAAGAGACCATGAAGAAAATAAAAAATTAAACCATGATTCAGTTCTCATACCATGGCAAAGTCAGAGAATGACATTTGCAATGCTGGTAAGAGTTGTTTTTATGCATTGGGAGCAACGGGCATTTGATTGGAGGGATTTAAATAGAACTTCAGGAAAGATGGGCACAGACCTGGTGGACAGTAGAGTTGAGGGCTTTGAGAAGTAAAGAGATATTGGGGATGGTGCATCTATTGGAAAACCAAGCGTGCAAATTCAGTTAAATACTTCTACAAGGAGAGATATTATAGGAATCTTGAAAGGCAGGAGTATAATAAAACCATTTATGTCAGTGGACGGTTGGGAAGTTCATGGAAACAGGTTCATGGGTACAGGGATAAGTTTCATAGCTGACAGCAATATGAAAGATTGACATTAGAAAATATTGACAAAGTGTGGCATTCACAAAAAAGCCTGGGCAAGATTTAGTGGGAAAAAAAAGGAAAGCAGTATAAATTTCTGAGTGGATATACCTCAGTAACAAAAACACAGCAGTAAAGAGGCAGAGGGCGGGAAAGGACTTCCAAGTTATTTTTGCACTTCAGGATACTTCTAGAGTAGTGTCATAGCTTTTGTAAAGCAGAGATGTGGGAGATAACAGATGAATAAAAAAACAGCCAAATTAATTGCATGTGAAGTGGACAGACAGAAAAATTCCATCAAGCACTAATACCAGCTATATTAGGAACATAAAGCTGGAGTACAGTAGGCTATTTATTCCATTAATGTAGGTAATGCAATAATCTAACCTGTTCAATGGGTTTCTAGGAGAAGGAAGTAACGGAATAACAGTGTTGCTCAAACATTCACACAGTGGACAAAGAAATTCTCCATTCTCCACATCATAGCTTGTGTGCACTCTTAACCGCTGCTGTCTCCGCTGCTCCTTTGCTTGAACTGCATCAAAGTAACTGGCAGATAAAAAGAATAATACTTCATACATTACAAACAGTACATGAAACACACTGTAAATACTTGATTCGATTAGAAATGATGCGATCTTTTGAATTTGAAATCTGAACAAGAACACTTTGAAAATAGCGTAAGTGAAAAGTAAAAGCTGAAAGTCTCTTAAAATTATGAGCCTCTGAAATTGTCAGAAAAATGTTACATAGAGCCAATGAAAATTAGCAAACTATACTTATCTTTGCAGCTGAAAGCCTACATGGCAGAAACATGACACTATAGCAGGCGTTTAAAAACTTTAGATACATTCCTCCACATGTTTTGAATATTTAAAAATCATTACTGATCAGAAGCAAAATGGTTGAACAGTCATGCTCCTGTCCGCTAAAATGGACTTGATAATTACTCAAAAACTCTAGACTGCGCAGTGACTCTTTGAACAATAGTTTCATAAAATAGATGAAGTCACCTTGCTTTCTAAGAATAATCTTTTGAATGAATTAACAAAAAATAACAGACAAATAAAGACTTTGGCATGGCGGCTGACCATTCACTTCTTGTCTTTTGCTAGCATATAATTTACAGAAAATTAATTAGAACAGTCGATCTCAGGAGCTCACTGGTTAAAAAGTATTTGCTATTAGTGCTTGGTACTAACCTCTGCCAACAGTGGGCGTGCATGATGTGTCCACAGCTACCTATATGGGTGCCACAGGCCAAATCAGGTGGCATGAACAATGGGTCATGGTTTTCTGATAAGGAGAAAAAGAAATCATACTTCAAAATAAATAAAATTATTCAACTTGAAGTTGATAAAGAATATTTTCTGGTACTTGCAACCTGGAAATATTGAGCTCCACCTATAAAAAGACCCATGTTTTTAAGACCTTAGGCAACATCTATAATATATGGCCCTTATGGTATAATGATACAGTTCTTAAATATACATTGCAAATCACTCAGCAAAATTTAAATATTTAAGGTTATTAAGATTCAAATAATATTACAAATTTGTAAAATTTTCTAGCCTACTGAAGAAAAATATAAAACCAAGTTACGGAAGGTCCAACTTCACAGCAATTGTAATGTAGTTAATGTAAGAACTTTTACTTTCTACGATCATAAACAACAATGTGAAAAATCACCAGGATCCTGGAAGGTCCTTGTTCTGTTCTTGGACAAAACTGTTGACCTCTGAACAAAGGAGGCTAAAACCATTGCTTTGTTGTTCATTCTAATCTCCTGTTCCTCTTGGCACAAAATGCACGTAACAACTTGCTTCTCTTCAAAAACTCTGGTTTGTCTGGGACCTAAAGCAATCAATGCTGCATCAGGAACTATAGGGCTGGAAATAAAATAAAACAACATTAACACCATATCAAAACAGATTTTATAGGTTACATATATTGCCGAGTAGTAACCAGCTAAGTAATCATATTACAACAGCAATTACTACTCAAAGAATACTCAATTGGCTGAGGCACTTTACAACATCCTGAAGTTGTGAAGGGCGCAATAAAAAAGCAAGTATTTTTATACTTCAAAATTGTATACATACATTTAAAATAAAAGAAAAAAATCTCTAACTGTAGCATCTGCTATCAAGCAACGTGCTTGAGATTGTCTAAAAACTCAAAAGACCTACAAATGCTGTGAATTAGAAACAAAAACAGAAATTGCTGGAAAAGCTCAGCAGGTCTGGTAGCATCTGCTTGAGATTGGATTTTACTTAATGCCTTCAGGTGGTCAAGGAAATCTTCTTTGAGAGTCAAACTCTTAAAAAAAAGTCACATCTTGGTAAGGCTGCAGCTAATATCACCAAAATCACTTGAGGATAAAATTTTGAGGTAACACTTCAGACACACTCAAATCAATTCTTACATCGCCTTGAAGCAATGTTCTTCCAGTAATCCAATATGGTTACCTGGATAGGACACTAATGTACGCAATATGCGGATAACCGGTGACTCACACTTGGCAAACGCAAACATAAAAATGCCAAATGACCAAACCATCACAAAATTCGGAAAACTTTTTATTCTTGTCAAGGAGTCAGCATCCAACAGAAATCTTCTAGTTGACAAAGGCAATAATTCACAGCACTTCATCCTGCCTAGAAGCAGTTTCTCCATTGATCACAGCAAAATTGTTATTCATTGTTCTCCTATACTACCATAGGACTGTATGTTTGACTTGACTTGCTCGTCTCAGGGTCAAACACCATCGGTCAACTAATTGCAAGCTGTTAAACAAACGTCAAAATCCACTTCAGCAGGTTCATTAAGCAACTCACTAAAGGACCGCAAAATGTAGTTAAGATTAAATGCATCAGGAACGGATTTCCTCTGCTTCCATACTGATGTTCATCACTTGCTGTATTGGATAATGGTCGCATTGGACCAACAGCTGTTGATAGTCTCTGGAATGACAACGTTCAGCAAACAGATCAATGCTGTCCTGAAGTGCAACTCTGAAATTGCAACGAAAGCTATCATACAGCAGATAAGGAGACAAATTTGGTATTCTACTTGAAAATGATTATGTATATATCACACAACTGTAGTTTTGACTTATGATCGGATGGCAAAAAAAAGGTAGAGTCCTGCTGCCCAGATCAAACTTCTCCAAAGGCAATTAGACTAGTGACCAAACATGAAGCAAACTACATGCTATTCTGCATTTATCATTTCCCCAATACTTTAACCAGGCCACAGTTGTATTCTTGATCCCATCATAAGGCATAAAACTCACTTGCACAAATGAAGACGCTGATTTCAATTCGCCAAGTATGAAGGGTGCAAACTTTCCACTACCATCCACACACACACACACACACACACACACAGTAAATAATTCTTTGATACCATGCCGAGCGCAACTGCCTCTTCAGAAAATCATAGGATTTTCTAAGAACAGCATATGCCACCACTAAGTGTTCTATGGCTTAGAGCCAGTCTTCTTTGATGTTCGTGTTTCAGCTACCCATTGACATTTGTGGCATTCGGTCTTGCATGCCTAATTACTGGGACATGTTTTTCTTTGCTAGGAAGTGGTCAATAATCCTACCAGTTGGACAGTCAGTATGACTCACCCAAATCAAGTATGCTGCTCATCATTTCAATTATGGATCTCTATTCCAACATGTGCTTGGGTATGTTAATGATTTTTGAGTGAGAAGTTACAGCAACTTCTTCTCTCATCATATTTTATCTTTCCATAAGCAGTAATTTACAGCACCATCATTTCTTCTGCACACATCCTTGGCTTTCAACATCAAGTTATATCAGAAATGCAAGTGAATGCTGAGTGGTTTTGTTGCAAGTTGATTTTATAGAACACTAACACATCACAAATGAGAAAAAGTACCCAACATGTTGTGCCTGACTTCCAACAAATGCAAATGTTACCAATTTTAGTCAATTAGGACAACTTTTGTTCTATTGTTAGGATACGGATGATCCTAGCTGCACATCAGAGCATTTGAAATGTCATTTGGTCATCGACTGCATCCTTACCTGTAACCCATTCAACTCACTTTTAGCAAGATATTGTGTTAAACCTGTCTGAGATATATTATACTGTTTGGAATTTGGATTTTTAAAACTCAAGTAGCTGGGATTATTTTCAGTTCTGTGATTTATTTTTTTACTTTTTGAAGAGGTCAGAAAGTCAGTCAATCAGAATACTAAGCTTAACACATCATTTCCAAGAAAGCACGTGATTCAGTTCAGTGCTGAGCAGTATAGCTGTGATGCTAAATCATGAAATAGTCATAACCACTGTGATTATTATAGATAAAGAAAGCACTCATTTCATTTTGACTTTAGTTCAGAAGAATAAAAAGAGATCAGTTCAAGACAGCAGTTTCCTCCTAACAGAAAAATTCTCCTGTTCAGGAGAAAAACAGTCTCTCTAGTTGAAGGGTGTTAGCTTGAGAAATCTCCAAGGTGTGAGAGCTTGTATTGAATTTTTCAAGGTGTCAGAGCTGTCGAGTTGTCAAGGTCACCAGAACTGAAAAGAAGTGTGAGCCATCACAAGAGGAAAATCAGGCAACAGGACTGGAAAGCAGTTGTAGGACTGTCTCAGCAGTCCAAGGAGAAGAGCTGAAGAGAGTCCATCAAGAAAGAAATTAAGACATGAGGCAGTAGCGTTATTTCTCTGCAATTTTGTCTCTACAAAAGGTATATTTATGGGAAACAGTTCCAAAATTCTTTCTATTTTTGTAGTTTTGCTATTCATGTTCAGATCTTTCTAAACTGTCATATTTGCTTTTCTTTTGTATAATAAACTTGCATCCATTTGTTAAAAAATTTGCATCACATGAATATATTCAGTGGCTAACTACCCATTGTAACCAACCACAAAATATTACAATTATCATTTATCAAGGCAGGTTTTATTCTGGGATCTGGCAGAGGCAACATTACCTTCAATTGGGATCATCAGCCTCACCCTGCTGGAGAAGGGAAGAGGGATGTTCGAGGCTGGTGTGCCTAGCTCCTACAAAAGGTTGCAGCCAAGTTAAGAACAATGAGGAACAGCTTACCACATTCACACAGGATGCACCTTGTGTGTTGGATTGGTAGTAAAGGGGCATATTTAAACCTCTCCTATCCAGAATAGTGGCAACATATCTGGGAGATGATAATACACCAAGGATTTGGGGAGAAAAAGGAAATTGCAGCTGGGCTTGTAATGTGTAAAGGTAAAGGTCAATTCTTTTCTGAAGACATTATGATGCTGGCAGATTTGAAAAGGAGGACAATGTCCAAAGTTGTGAACCATTAATAATATGAGGTGACATGGAAACAGAGGTTTGGTGGTTAGCAGTTTAGTGGAAATAAGGTCAAGAGAACAGGAAGCGAATGGTATGGATGGGATACACTTAGAGGGGAGATTGTGAGATAGAACAGAAACAATGAAAAAAGTGAGCAAGGGTGGGAGAAACCTTCAGGAAGGTTTGGCTAAGGGAAGGAAAGGAAGCAGCAGAAGCAGCTGAACAGATGGTTTCAATATTCATGACAAAGAAATCTATGAGTTCCTCACATTTACTCTTGGTATTCAGAGTGGAGGTGGTGGTGAGGGGGCTTAAGAAAACAGATATCACGGAGAAGCAAAGCTTTGCGTTGTTTTAGCAATGCAGTAGCGGTTTGGAAAGAAGAGTGCAGGTTCTGATAGTACTTCACCACAAATCTGGTGACTAATTTGTCAATATTTCTCCATAAACTTTAAAATCTGTATTCCATAGTCATGAGAGACCAAAGAGCCACACTAGGAGCCCAGCCATGGGTGAGACATTAGAATAGTTTTATGGAAAAAGGGCAACAGTGGAGGTGAAGGTGCGATTGAGCTACAGAATGTCAGCATGAATTAGAAGGTGGGAAAGTATACTGACATCAGGAGAAAAGAAAGAGCATTACACAGGATGAACAACGTTTCCGTGAAGGAAGATTAACTTGGTTTATGTATGGTGTTGGGTTAGATAAAATTTGCTCATAAGCATGTTGTCTCAGTTTAATGACACGTTAAAATTGCAAATGAAAATTAGACAAAAACATAGCCATTCATTCACTTTTATTTTTAGCTCCACACCTCGTTATCTCAGACTCCAGCATCGGCAGTTCCTACTATCCGAGTGAATTTTTAGGAGGGAACTGACTCTCAGATCTTTGTCAATTGTATCCTGAAAATGCCACAAGCCCAGTGACAGCACCCTATTTTCATTACCTCTTCACTAGTGCCAATTTTCCTGTTGAAACATTTGTACTTTTGAGTTCGTAGTAAAGGTGCTAACACTATGTGATTAAAGATAATGTGACAATTTAGACAAGAATACAATTTTCCTTTAAAAATTACTAAAACATACAATGCAACAAACAAATGTCTGATATACAACACCTATATGTTTACCTGTTGTCAGTGACTGTGGAAGATGAAGCTTCTAGTTCTTCTAATGTCTGTTGAAATAACTCTCTATTTTCATCTATAAAATGTCTCTGCATTTCTGACATCTGGGCCAATATCTTCTCTCTTCGCAGACGGGCAATTTCAGCTTTCCGCTTCCTATCTGCTTTATCTTTATCTCGTGAACACTAAAAAGGACGATTAACAGTGTGACCAAATACAAAACATAGTTTGCAATGTAATACTTTCAATCTCAAAGGGAAGTGGGAGGGGGCAGTTTACTGGAAGGCAGAAGAGAGAAGCTCACTGCATGTTAAACATTCTTAGCTTTATGAAAAAAATGCTTTACTCAGATAATAAAGTATCTGGTTTCAATGAAATTCAATATCTTGTCAAGGTATGCACTGTCCAGTAAAAAAATTTACAATTTTATCTAATATGAAAGTAATTGTAGACATATAAAAATGCTCATCAAATTACAGATGTCAACAAACCTGCAATGAAACAATTTTATTAATTTAACTTTAAATCACAATCCCTTCAATGGGTCAGACAGCTTATCGAAGACTAAGCCAAAATTACAAGCAAGGTCTCAAAATCAGAAATGGTTTTTGGTTCTGAATTAGCTGCTGTCAGTAGTTCAAAGCTGTTATTTTTGGTTTCACAGACTTGGGAGTGCTGAGGAATAAACACCAGGGGTGCTGCCCCTGGGTGTTCAAGATATTTATGTCAACATCAGGTGCATTGTGCCTGCAAATTAACATCAAGCTGATGTTTATAACCAAAGTACACACAAACAAATAGGCATTTAGATGATATGGTGAGGCCTGTTTATGGCACGAACACTAGCAGCTTAAAGAGCCAATGCCTCCAGCAGGATACAAAAGGGAAAAGAAGGGAAGGAGAAAAAAAAATCACAAACAAAAATGAAAAAAACTGTAACTTAATAAATGGGAAGACACAACTGGAAGGGCAAATTTCAACAAGATCCTGTTATTCACAAAATATCCCAAAAATTACAAGAATTGTGCCTTTTACAACTGAAAAATTCGTATACTATTAACAAATACTTCTGAAGGATTACAATAATTTTTGTGCTTCAGCACACATTTTGGAAAGTACCTTAAAATTTAACGGCTGTACAAAGCCCTGCTTTCTCTTTCAGGAAAAGAAAACGTTTTAAATGGTCTTACTGTTATGACATTATCTTACCTCTTCTATGCCATGCCCTTCTGTTTCTACAATAGGGGCCAAATTGCTTCGTTCTCTCATCTTTTTAACAATTCCAAACAGCTTTAAAACAAAATTCAGTCTTGTCAGAATTGAAAACAAGTTAATAATCCATTTTATTACTGTTATGTTAACACTCAGTTTTTGCCTTTCACGTTTCATAAATTTGTGTAATCACAGATGAGGTATACTGGTGTTCACTGTTCTAGGTCTTCCAAATAAAAAGGCCATTTATTTGCTTCTTCGAAAATGAATTGGACTTTTCCAAAATACATTTTCAGAATTGAATCGGATGCTCTCATGCCAGTACCATGAATTATCACAAACTGGGCACAGAATGCATATTCAAACAAAAGGCAAATATTAGGCTAATCAGTGGAAGGGCCCAATTCAAAAGGAAACTCAGGCAATTAACTTTAACGTTTTATTGAGGGGTTTTGGACGATCTGAAATAAGGCTGTCAAAAAGGATGATTTCCACCACCCCCACTCCAATTAACTGTAAGCTCTAAGTAACCTGACATGCAGCAAAGCTACGTATCTCATAAAAACTGCCCCAGTAGCAAAATCCTGTTGCCAATTTTCCTACTTGCATTTATGTTATGTGCAAAACAAAGTAGCAAGTTTTATTATTGGTCCATTAATTAACTTCAGACGGTTTTACAAATTAAAACTGTGTTTCAATCCATTACATCACTGAAAATACATTGTTGATCTTCATACGAAGATGACCTACGATGAGGACACATTTGATAATTGCTTTCTGATTAAGTGCTGAAATTAGTCAAGATTTTCTCTCCCAGTGGATTACAAGCATTTCCTTTTAAAAAGTAATTCTAATTTTATATGGCACTTGAAAGACTGCAACTACTGTCATTGCAAAATGGAACATCTTTCCTCAAAGGTTTGCACAACATGTTGGAATATGTTAAAAAGCACAGACACCTGCAAATTGTAATGCCTATTACATGAAATGCACAAGTTGTTTAGGTTATATAATTGCCACAGAAATCACTGCTTTTCAGTAATTACAAATTGTTAAGAAAAATAATCAATTAGTAGTATTTAGTTTCAATATATTTCTCAGCTTTGAACTCTGATTGTACCAGTGGTGGCAGGATGAGACTCTTAAGTGAGCATTAATTATCCACTGAATTACCCACAGTGAGAAAGCATTCACGAGCTTTCCTGTACAGACGTAATCATGCAGTGGTTGGAAAGTGGTAGGATCCTGGCCCCACAACTGTCAACCTGCTGAATTGCATGACCACTTCAAAATTCATGCCAGGGAAGTATTAAGATTTATCCTAAGATACTGCAAATGAGTATGCTTAAGTGAATGGGTCAGTAGTAGGCTAAGTAGAATTATGTGGCAAAATGTAAACTTATTCACTTTGGTGGGCAAAAAAATACTGCACATCTTTCAGCAAGAAGCTAGTAAATATTGATGATCATTCAGATTTGGACATCCTTGGACAGTCAACATACCAGTACAGTATCAACTAGGAAAGCAAATTCTATGTTGGCCCTTTTTAAGCTTGGAGTACATCATCAAGCAAGTCTTTCAGCAATTGTACAGGATTTTGGCAACACCACACCTGGAGTACTATGTACAGTTTTGGTGCCATATCCATAACTGACGCACTTGTCTCAAAATGGGCACCACAAAAGTTAACTAAATTTAGCCTTTGCATGAGAGAATTGTCTGAGAAGTAGCAATTGAGTAGAGGGGCCAATACGTTCTATAACGAAGAAGCATTGTAACAGCATGAGGGAATAGCCAGTATGGACTAAGATGAGAAATTTCTTCACTCAGTGGGTTGTCAAATTTTAGAATTCTGTAACTCAGGGTTTCTGAAGGCTCAGCAGTTTATAATCTCAAGGAGGAGATTGATCCATTTTTAGGCACTAAAGGAATCAAAGGGATATGGGGATGAGGCAGGAAAATGGAGTTGAGCTCAAGAATCAACCATGATATTATGAAATTGCAGAACAGGCTTTATGGACCTTCCTGCTCCTCTGATGCTGCTTGGCCTGGTGTGTTCATCCAGCTCTACACCTTGTTATCTCAGATTTTCTAGCATCGGCAGTTCCTACTATCTCTCTTTATGGACCATTACATTGTTTTTCCAAAATCATAGTGATTAAGTGTTTAGTGTTAAACATTGAATGGTATCTATCAATGATACGTGGTTTCTCTCTCATTTGTTCTGAGATTTTGGGCAAAGCTGCATTTATTGCCCAATCCCAGGTTATCATGAAAAGATGATGATGAGCTCCCTCCATGACCCTCTTAAGTCCTTATACTAATGGCACCTACACTATCAGAGCAAATACGAACAAAGAATTGGTATGGTTTGTATTAGCAGCGTACAGCCATAAGGATGGTGTGAGATTTAAAGTGGAACTTGCAAGTGATGGTTTTCTCTCAACACTGCTGCTGTTACCATCATGGAATCCCCACTATCAACATCCTGGGGATTAACGTTAACCAGAAACTCAACTGGACTCACCACATAAACACTGTAGCTACAAGAGTTGGTCAGAGCCGAGGAATACTGTGAGTGAATAACTCACCTCCTGACTCCCCTGAGCCTGTCCACCACCTACAAGACAGAAGTCAGGAGTGTGATGGAGTACTACCTACTTATTTGAATGGGTGCAGCTCTAGGAACACTCAAGAAGCTTGACACCATCCAGGACAAAGCAGGCCACTTGATCAGCGCATCAAGAAACATCCACTACCTCCAACACCAACACTCATTATGAGAAATATGCACTGTCAACAAGATGCATTGCAGAAATTCAAAGATTCTTAAGACAGCACTTCCAAACCCATAACCACTTCAATCTAGAAGGACAAGTGCAGCAGATACACAGGAACACTTGCAAGTTCCCCTCCAAGTCACTCACCATCTTGACTTGGAAATATATCACAATTCCTTCACTGTTGCTGGGTCAAAGTTCTGGAATTCCATCCCTAACAGCATGGTAGATCAACCTACAGCACATGAACCGCAGTGAGTCAAAAAAAAAAAAAAAAAAAAGCAGCTCACCACCACCTCCTCGAGGGCAACCAGGGACAGGCAATAATTCCTGGCCTGCCAGTGACAGCCCACGTCACACAAATGAATTAAAAAGAGATTTGAAATGAAAATTCATATTTTACTGACATTATACCAACATAGTATGAAACCTAAGCAACACGACAGTGCACCAGGAATGACTCTCATTTCTTAGTTTAATGGCATTCGCATCAAATTGGGACTCTTGCATTATGTTATCAATTTCACATCAGTGCAAACCTGAAAACAGTCTTGTTTCCTACTGGTGCAGATGAGGTAGTGTAACTACAGTCCATGACAACATAACAGATGGTTGAATAAAAATGGAAAATAATGTTGGCTTTGGCTGCGGCACTGTTAGGCTATAAATCAGTTAAAGAGATAAAAGGTACCCTTTCTCACACTGAGAAATAAAGACAGGAGCAGAAAGCATTTTGGGAATGGTATTATTTAAGTGTCAGTGATTGCTCCCTCAAGACAGATCTGCTTCTGTACAAATCTATTTTCTGATAACATTGAATCAGAACAAAGAAATTCAACTGATTAGCATTGGCATATACCTTAAGTATCCATTTGATCATGTCCTTATAAACCTCCAAATGAGGAGAATTCTGCAAGCTTTCTAGCATTGCCAAAATGCTAGGTGTGTTTTCTGGAGCCTCCCCAGGACCTGTCAAATAATTCCAAAGCAAATTAAAATGTCAATATGCAAATAACCAACACTTGCATAACTTCACTTGATATAGCACACCTTAATAGAATTATTTAAATTATTCTGATGAAATTTATAGAATTTTTCATTGATACTAATTTTCATCAACAGGCAGGGGAAAGATGTGAATCTGGGGTAGGAAAAAAAATTTAAACGACTGAACCAAATGAATAAATGGCACCTGTCTCATTTTGATTTTCTTTTATTTACCAAGCAACAGAATTTTTGACAAAACTAATACATACATGAAAATTTTGAGGTGAAGTTAAAGGTCACATCACTGTCTGCACTTGCACTTTCCATTTGTTGTTTCTCTTCATTTAAAGCCATTCCAATCAAGTGCAAAACCTAGGTGAACAGGATTATGACATAGTTAAACCTATCTATTCAAAGACAGCCAAAATAATGAGCCATAAACAACAATAAAGGACAGTGCTCATTGGTATTTGATTAATTTCTGTTGTGGCAAAGTGCTAAGATACAATTGCACATACATAATTCTCAAAACATAGTGGCACCCTGATATAAAATACCAAGCACTTTTCGAAAAGGACAGAAGAAAAACAACGTATTTCCAAAACAAGGTTAGCTTCCAAACATAACTTGGTCATTGCAGTAAGAGAATTGTATATGAAGACGACTGAGCTATGAATATATCCAACAGTCCCCATTATTCATGCGGGATAGGGACACTGTCTTCCTGCCAATAATAAAAAAAATGCAGATACCACTCCTGTGTACTTTTCCTATGTACCACAACAGGACTGCAATCAATCAGTTTACTGAGGCAGGCTGAACGAGACAAAGATAGGGTCTAGGGCTGACCTCATGAGTCATCTGTGGGTAGTAAAAGCAGATTCACAAATTATGAAGACTGTGTAAACAAAGAAATTTAAACAACTCTCTTCATGTTATTACATCAAACATTCTCACAAAACATGGCCATCAAAAGCATGACTTGACACCAAATACATCCTAGGAGCCTTTGCCAGCTTAAATTCACTAAATATTCTTCAAATGGGATTTCAGTACAAAATGTAAATTCATGCCAGCATGTAATAGGCAATGATTAGCACTAGAAACACAAAAAACAGACAGATGACTTGGCCCTCAAATATGTTCCAATTTGGTTGACTTAACTCCAATATCTGTCCTCTATCAATTTCAATCTTGAGAATTTAAGGAGCACATTGACGATTTTCATTATACTATGAAAAATGCTTTGAATTTCATGCCTTACTGGCCACGTTTGAATTATAAGATTGTACCACAAAAACAACTTGGCTGGTTCCTTTCTGGTGAAATCAAAGATGTCACCCAACTGACTGCATTCGACTGACATGGTCTTCAGAACCCCCTCAAAATGCAGTACGAATGCATGTAACACATCAATCCCACTTCCATGTGCAATTTAAACATGTGAGCAAAACAGAGCACACATACCAAACATCCTGTCCAAAAACTGGACTCTTCTGTGTTTCCGAGTAGATAGGAATACAAACTTCCATTCAACTTGCTCTGGGTACAAATTTGGCCCTGATTCTACATTTACTGCACTTTTTCTGTCAGTACCAAGTGAGAACAGGCTTGCATTAATGTTATAATTTGGAAGCAATATACAACAAAAACAGTTAAGACAACAAGGAAAAACAAATGCAACTTTTGAACTCAGCTCTGATAATAATACCAATATCAGGGACAGCTTCTGTTTTGGATGAGAGGGTAACAAACTCCAAAAGAAAACAAAAAAGTTATTAATAAACTTTTAAATGACTGCATTTTTCAATAAATTCTCAACAATTCCTTCCATTCTGATCGATTATTCATTCCTTATAGCCCTGTCATGAGTCTGCTCCAACATAGTTTCTGATGTTTCAACATAGCAGGATTAATCATTTAATTGGAAAGAAGTAATAAACAAAGTTTCCCTCCATTTTGCCATCTCAAAACTAGGTCAAACTCAAACAAAAGTTTATTTTCAACTGTGGTGAAGAGACAAGATAAATTCCAAATAATGAATGCGTCTGACTTTGAAATGTAAAGAGATTAGCAAAGCTTACCCTTTGTAACATACTTTCAGTCCAAGCATGTCCATTTGGTTCCACAACCCATTGTAGCACTGTTCTCAAGATATACACAAAAACATCTGACTGAAGGACGTTTACCAGACTGGCAAACAGGGGGCAAAAATGCGGAAGGACAGGAGGTGGAAGAGCTAAAACAAAGATAGTTTCATGAATAATATTATTGCAAAATAGCTTCAAGTTGTGCGCACTGGCTCCAGTTCAAGTATAAAAAAGTATTCAAAATTAATTCTTCACTTTTGGACATGATTGACAACTTCTGTATCCATGTCGATGAAGTTACTCAGCTCAAACCAGAGGTTGGCATTGGGTTGTGATATTTTTACACGCGAACAGGAGCACCAGAACATTGAATCCTGAACAAATCCCAAGTATTTTCAAGATAAATTTTTAGAAAACAAGTTCGACTTTTTATATAACATGGTTATCAAAGGCAATTTTTTTTACATCACCCTAAACTTCTAAATAAACAAAACAAGCTAAGTTAGCTTCCATAATCAAAAATGTTCTCCCAACACTGCTGAAAAATCAAAAGGACATTAATTTCTGAAAGCATTATCAGCAAATGAATGTTGTGTTGAATATCCCAATTCATACAACATAAAATAATCATCTTTTGGCCCTTTCTTGCTTCCTATTGACTATACCACGCCAGAAACCATTGTTAAAAATAATTGACTGTCTTGACTAAAGCAAATGAGAATGCCTGGTTAAATACAATTAGAGAAACAGGCAGTATATTTCCCTTCCAGAGTCTATTCAACTGTCAATTTGCACACAAATCATTATATATCGTAGGACAACTTAAAACATCCATCCCCAAGTACAGGAAATGTTCTTACATCAGAAATTTAAAATTATACCCTTGTATCGGATTGTATTCATTACTTGGATGCTTGTAAACCTGAAGGTCATAAATGTAACTCCAACTGCAATTTAGTTGCAAAGTATGAGCAAAAATGAAGTTATTTCAAAACTTGTCTATCCACATCTCTCAATCCTGACCTGATCGATTAGAAAGAAAAATAGAAGCTGTTAGCGCACCTAATATTAACACTGTTCACAATCCTGATTTGTCCAATGTGGAAGATAGTGAATGAAAGTAAAACCCAACCCAAGTGAAAAACAAAGAACTCATGGAGCCAGATTAACTACTGTGTCGACAATGGTATGTGAGCAGACCATCTCCCAATCCAAAACGAAATAAAATTAACTTCAAAATGAGATGGAAGTGGAAAAATTTTAACATACCCATGTCTTCTCCATTTTGCTTCCTCAACTTCCTTTGGGCTTCTTCAGCCTAAAGTAAAATAAAGTGATATGAACTTATTTTTAGTGAGCACAGTTAGTAAACACAACTTAAAAAAAGTATAAGAAGAACTTTGAAACCTCGTAAAATATATACTTATAAATTTCAAGTAAACGTGAAACCCGGGCTAAAGAAATACACCAAACAGACTGCGTTTGAATTTCACAAAATTGTTCGATAGGTGTTTCATAAGTAGTTTGAAGAAACAAATTCAAAAATGCCTCTCAAACTATGATGGCACAGTAATAAATCAATCAATCAGTTCATTATTCAAGTCATACATGTTGTAAAGTGATGAGATAACAACAGAGGGGGGAGGGGAAGAGTGGAGGAAGTAAAGAATGGTGTAACGGTCAGTGAAGAACAAGACCATAAAAGGAAGGGATGATTGTGTTAAGCATCTTTACCAACATTTCTTCTGACATTGGATGTTTTAAAATCTATGGTTCTCTTTCCCCTTTAAGGGTCAATATACAAATAGTCAATAGGAATACGAGTCAGGAAATGTAGTACACAGTTCCAAAAGGAGTCACTGCTAATTGATATCCTTTAATGTCCCAAGACATTTCTTTACTTTCAGTTGCTGATGTCCAAGACCAGAGAAGATGTCTGTGTATAATTGACTCGCTGTGATTTGTCACGATGGGACCAAGGCTGCTGGGCCTTCAGAGGAAAAGATGTGAATAAAAATTCAGTTACAAAAGCTTATCCATGGCATGAAAACATCATCTTTGATTCGAGGTCAAAGACGAGAAAGCATTTTTAAAATTGTGTTCAGCAGAATTTTCTACAGTACTGTGTGTCAAGTTCACCAAAAATGGAGTCACTGCTAGAACTGGTCCTTGGGAATAAGATGGACCAAGCAGATCAAGTGTCAGTGGCAGAACATTTCAGGGTTAGGGATTCTTATAAGGTTTAAAATGACAGTGTTATAGGGCAATCCATAGTAGGAATGATTAACTGACAAGGAGCCAACTTCATACTGTAGCAAGAACAGAATTGCACTGGATAGACTGGCACCAAAGACTTGTCAGAGAACCTGAAGCTGAACAATATGTTGCCTTCAAAGAGCAGATGGCTCAAATACAGTACCAATATACCCTCAAAATGGAAAAGCAGCGCAACTGAAGCCCTCCAGCTCCCTGAATGTGAAATAAAATAGAAGTTAAGATAAAGAAATAGTGTGCTTACGCAGGTGTCAGGTCAAATATAAAATTGAGAACAAATTTGAACACAAAATGTACAGTAGGGAGTGGAAAAAGTCAGAAACAGAAAGGGATTGTGAAAAAAGACTGGCAGATAACAAAGGGTAATCCCAAGTCTTTTACAGGTGCATAAAGAGTAAAAGCCATGGTAAAAACCCAATTAGAGACCAAAGAGCATTCTCATGGAGGCAGGGGGCATAGTTACGCTATTAAAAGAGATATTTCACATCTGTCTTGACTAAGGAAGCAGATGGTGCACAGGCTATGGGTAAAAGGAAAGGAATCCCAGTCACGAGAAGGGTTCAAAACTGATAAGGAAATGGTATTGAAAAAAGGTGATGGCACTTGAAGAATTAACAAGATGCCATGACCTGATGGCACGCATTCCGGTATATCAGAGTAAGAGTCAAAAGTACAGAGGCACTGGTCATAATACTTCAGTCTTCCCTGAATTTAGGGGTGGTTTAGCAAATAATCTAAATAGAGTGAGAAAAGAAATATTTTCACAAGGCAAGTTTCACAATGGAATGCATTGCTTGGACATGGAGGCAGATTCAATCAAGGTATTCAAGATGATTTGAACAGAAATAACGCAGTTTTGGGAAAAAAGCGAAAGATGGCATTACACCATGATGGTTGCTCAGAGCTGACGCTGACATAACAGGCCAAACATCTTCCTTCCACAACTACATAATTTTGTGATATTGAGAGAAGCATGAGATGCATGATTAGATGGGGAATATTTCATGTGAAGGACTATAGGTTTTGGTGCTCCTTATTTTATCTTTTGTACACATCTCTGATTTGGCTTTAACACTCAAGACAGTACATAATCCACACAAATTTTTAAAAAAATTCACTCAACCTGTTCAGTCATGAGATGACAGTCCTACGCGGCAGGTGGGACCTATCACAGACCTCTGGCCCAGATGGTGGACAGAGACAGAGATAAAGCAAATTGACAAAGGCAGAGCAGTAGACTTTGTCTATATGTGCTTCAACAAAGCACTCAATGAGGTTCCACACTGCAGACTGGTCAGTAAGGTTAACACACATGGGATCCAGGGGGAGCAATTCAAATGGAAACAAAATTGGCTTGAAGGCAAGAAATGGAGGGTTGTGTTAGAGGGTTGCTTTATGGACTGGAGACAGAGACAAAGACACTTTGACTATTTAATACCTTCAATTAATTGTTGAAGTATTGATGCACATTGAATCTAGATTCATTCTATACTAAATGGACTTAATTATAGTTTACCTTGGATTGGTCGGCCCTAGAATAATGGTAGAAGAAAACATTAAATTCCTTGGCGCATTCAGGTTTTAGCTCATAAAGCCCTCTTCCTGTTAATCCTGGCTTCCTGTGATGGAAAAGTCATGGGATTAACATGCTAGTAGACCATAGTGACAATAAAGCTAATTCAATTCAATATCCAACTAATGCAGCACTTCACCTGGAGTTGTATACTTACTTGAAAGAGGCTACAGATTCAATAACCTTTTCCATTCCAGTCTCTTTATTCTCCTAAGAGGGAAAAAAAATCAGCAGGATGTACATCACTTACAGAACTAATTATTATATATGCTTTAAATGCTGAGTATCCTAATCTACAGCTTCATGTTGGGACCATAAAATGTTCAATCCTCAAATGATGTTTACTTTTGTGATCTACATATTTGTATTGTTTTAAACAGGTTAGGAGTGGTGAACTGATTCATCTCCTTCTCCCAACTTCTCCAGTGGCCACAACAGACTTGGAACTTAAAAGGGAGGTGACACTGTTGATTAAATATATTTATAAATTGTAGCTTAGTACTGTATTAGAAACAAGGCAGCCTGTTCCTCAGTTAACAAGGGTTAGCTTTATTTTTTAAAAAAGCTCGAGCAAATATGCAAAAATTAAGACAATGTTTAAAATATGCATATATATTCAACAACCTTGGCTGAAAAGATATTCATTCCAAGCTTGGAAAAAATTACAAAACATCACAGAGCACTATCTTAAAAGGATTTTGGATAAGTACTTGGTAAAGTAATTAAAAGGAGATTGTGACAAATGCTAGTCTATAGCTGAAGTAATTTCCACACTGGCTATGCTTCTGTCAATGTTGACTCTAATATTTGTTTTCAGTGCATGGACCTCAGAGGTCTGTGAACAGCAGCAACTTCCGAAACCAGAAGTTTATGCATTGGTGGCATGCCGAATGACATTATTGCAGAGAACATGGACTTCTCCCTGGGCCATATATGGTTGGTTCTTCAAGATAGTGGTGTAGATTCAGACTTCTCCTTTATAAATGCTGCATTTACAGAGACCGGGTCTTTCAATGGGAAAACTCTCAAACTTTGATGAGGGGTTGATTCGGGGGTTGGGGAGGTAAAGGCTGTTGCTACTGTGGCAGATATTCTATGTGCCTTAAACAAAGCTATTTTACAGCCTCAAATTGATTGAGTTTATTGAAGAAGTAACAAAGAAGATTGGCAAAGCAGGAGCATAGACTTTGTCTATATGTGCTTCAGCAAAGCGCTCAATAAGGTTCCACGTTGTTGACTGGTCAGTAAGGTGAGATCACATGGGATCCAGACGGAGCAATTCAAATGGACACAAAATTGGCTTGAAGGCAGGAGATAGAGGGTGGTGTTACAGGCCTCCTTTATGGAGTGGACGCCTGTGGCCAGTGGTGTGCCACAAGGATCAGTGCTGGTCCACTGTTATTCATCATTTATATAAATGCTCTGGATGTGAATATACAAGGCATGGTAAATAAGTTTGCGAATGACAGCAAAACAGGTGGTTACCTCAGAGTACAATGGGACCTGAATAAGATGAACCAATGGGCCGAGGTGTGGGAGATGGAGATTAATTAAGATAAATATGAGGTGTTGCATTTTGGTAAGGCAAACCAGGACAGGACTTATTCAGTTAATGGTAGGCCCTGGGGAGTGCGGCTGAACAAAGACAGCTAGGAGTGCAGGTGCACAGTTCCTTGAAAGTGGAGTCACAAGTAGACAGAGTGGTGAAGGAGGTGCTTGGCACACTTTCCTTCATCGGTCAGAACATTAAGTAAGGAGTTATGGCAGCACGTTGCTTCTGTACAGGACATTGGCGAAACCACTTTTAGAATATGCATACAATTCTGATCACCCTTCTCTAGGAAGGATGGTGTTCAACTGGAGAGGTGCAGAAAAGATTTACAAGGGTGTTGCTGGGATTGGAGGATTTGAGCTATAGGACAAGTCTGAATAGAGGGCAGAGGGTAGTGCATGTATGGAATGAACCGGCACTGGTGGGTACAATTGCAACATTTAAAAGACATCTGGATGGGTATAGGAATAGGAAGGGTTTACAGGGACATGGGCCAAATGCTAGCAAATGGGACTCGGTCAGATTGGGATGTCTGGTCAGCACGGGCCAGTTGGACCAATGGGTCTGTTTCCGTGCTCTATGACTCTATGTGACCTCTCTGAAAGTGTTACAGGTTCAGTCCATTCAAGCAGTTTATGTTCTTTGCAAACGTAACCCTTTTGCTGCAGAAACCAGTGCCCTTCCTTCTGAAAGGTTTTCTATTGATAAAGTTCAAGACGCATGCATGTCCAGCTGATTATATTGTAAATTAATCAATCAATACATCTAGCTACTGATATTATAAGTCAGCTTTAAATAATATTTTCGTAACACTATAACAACAGTTCAGAAAGATTTCCAGAACAAAATGATCAACAAACTATGGAACAAATGGTGTGGCATGATGGCAATGAAACTTAAACTCCTTGATCTGTGCTGAACCAGACAATTCCAATTAAGATAGTGGTGCCCTCAGTGTCTCCTAATTCAGTAAAGAAGCACAAGATCTGGGCTCCAATCCCTGAATGATACACAATGGCTATGATAACCGTGGAATATCAGCTAACAATAGGTTGTGGCTGATTGGCTCATGCCCCTCCAGTTGAATATACAGAACTGTACACCTCAGTACAAAAGGGTTGAATAGGGAGAATTCAGAACGAAAAATTGGTAGAAAATGAATCAAAACCTAAGGCAAAAGTCATTCAAGCACGATAATAGACATTTTTCTTATTTTCAGAGTCTTAGAGATCTACAGTACAGAAAAAGTCTGTGTCAATCAAAACCACCTTTAATAATCTGATTTTCCAGCATTTGGCCCAAAGTGCTATGCGCCTTGGCATTGCTGACGTACATCTGAAAATTTCTTAAATGTTACCAGAGTTTCTGCCTCTACCACCCTCACAAGCAGTGAGTTCCACAGTCCATCTTCTGGACGAAAACAAACAAAGAATCCTCATCTCCTCTAAACTTCCTGCCCCCTTAGATTAAACCTTACCAAAAGCCTTGCTGAAAGCCTTTCTGAAAGTCACTCCAGAAAGAAACAAAAACGTCAGGTAGAATTAACACGCATATAGACAACATTATCAACCATTATACCGATATTATACTTACATCTTCAGGCAATGCTTTAACTAGTTCACTGTGTGCCATTGGCTTTATACATAGCTGATGAACAATTTCACGTTTCAGCTCATCCTCAGCAGACACCTGACCCACTCCAGCAGTATATCTCTCTCCTGAAGAACAAAGGTCAAATAATACTCACTAAAACAGTCAAGATTGCAATGAAAAATAAGCATAATTAATGTCATGTTAAAATAGGTTTCTTTCCCCTCCTAAATCATCACACCAGATATTAGTCAATAACACACAAAGCTTGTTAGAAATGAGCTCAGCCTCCGATATTGCCATCTTAATAAACTGAAGGCATGAAGTGCTCCTGCAGATTAACCTCCTTGCATTAAATGATGTCAGGCTGATTAAACAGTGACAAGTGCCAATTTTGAGAAAACATCTTGCGTAGTCACTCCAAAAAAAATGTACGTCTTACCAACCACCATCATGATCAAGTGAAGCATTTCTTCTATCAGAGTATTGTTTTGTTGTAGAACATCCTAAAAATGTAAAGTTTATGAAGAATACGACGTAATTAATACCCTCAGTAATAAACTTCCATGTGAAATGTCAAAATAGAAAAACAGTCTTATTCCTACTTTCAGACTTTGAACAAACTTAACACAAAGAAATACACTACTATCATAATTTTTCTGGAAAAGAATTTTCATTTGAAAAAAAACATTCCTACTTCACCTTGTTGGTGTGTTCAGAATTAAATCTTTTGCCATAGTCAGGACTGTTAAATATATGGTATAACTCAAATCGACAAAGCATAATCATTAGAAAGTGGTTTGGATCCATCATAGATGCTCCAGCCTAAAAAATACAAAACGTATAATAGCATTTTTGACAATTTTATAACATTCATTAATACTGATCTCAGACTCCAATCATCCACATGCACTGAAATCATGTGCTTTCGTCTGTAACTGAACCACAGAATTATTGGGAACTAATGCTGCATTCTGACTGCTGCAAAACATACCACTTCTAAAGGCAACAAACCTATACAGTAGATGACAAAGTAATCCTGTTGCCTGACATTCTAAACCATTGAAAGCATCTTTCAGAGATGAAAAAAGTGACTTAAACATCGCAAATTGGTACAAATCATCCAAGTAATTCCAGACATTTGTGTCACCAACTACAGAACCACGAATCACAGATTTAAAACAACTGCATTCTATTTAAAGCTGCAGAGGAAAGGCCTAAATCCTTTACAAGTAACTATACGAGATTATACTATACTGCTTGAAATCTCATTACTATCATTTTCGTAATACTTCAGCTGGAATGAAAGTTCTTACCTGGAGCATTATTAGGTCTTTATCATACATTTCCACTCTGCATTTCACATTGTGATAATAATAGATCTAGAAGAAAGAGCAAAAGAGCGAAAATATTTGACAGTTTAATGATTTGTGGGCTGCAGAAACATTCTTGTATCTCTTTCAAACTAAAGAATAGTTTCACTGTAACAAACCTGGAACATATGAATGTAAGAAATAGGAGCAAGAAGTTCATGCCTGATTTGCCATTCAATACATTAGTGTTCAATCTTGGGTTTCAATGGTACATTCCCATCAGGTTCCACTAAGTCTCAATTCCGAGACACCAAAAATGTCAATCCCTGCCTTAAACGGATTCAATTGTGGCACATGCACAATGCTCTGGGGTACAGAATTCCAAAGATTCCCATCTAATTAATTCAAGAAATTTCTTCTTGTCCCAGTCCTAAATGAATGGCCCTTATGCTTAAAACCTAGAATTTAACAATGAGATAATCTCTCAGTATTTCTCAACTCCACAAAATGGAGACACACTTTATTCAACATCTTGTCATTGGACGAACCGCTCATTCCAGGGGCCAATCAAGTGAACCTTTGGTACACTGCCTCTTATATTTAAGTATATCCTTCCTTATAAGGAAGGCAAAATTGTACACAGTATTCCAGGTGTGGTCTCACCAAAGCTCTGTACAATTGTGGAAGACTTCCTTAGTTCCAAACCCTTGACAAAACGATAACACACCACTCATTTTCCTAATTGCTTGATGTATCTGCATGCTTACTTGTGTTCCTGATATAAGTACACCCAAGTGTCTTTGAACATGAACTAATTTGACATCTTTTAAAATAAATTCCATTATGAAGGCTTCAAATTCCATTTTTTTGATGTCTGGAGTTTTGAAGGATCATTGAAAAATTGATTTATTTCAAGTTCTGTGGAGATACACAGATTTTATTTTAAAAAGGTCCAATGAAAAGAACATTGGCATATAAAAAGACACTTCTGGGAAAACACGACTTAAGCAAATTGGTTGGATTCACTTCTACAAAATCACCTGCTTGGGTGTTATGGCTGTCTTGTTTGAAGTGTTTTGCTTTGAGATTGCTTGGTTTGCAGTTGTTGAAAGAATCATGTTTACAGAAAGGCACCCAGCTTATATCACTCCTGTTTCTGAAGCACCTTTGTTGTCAGTCCAATGTAAAACCTCACTATCCTCTTGAAGAGTGGCTGGAAGACCTCCTGAGACCATATTTCCTTAGCAAAATCCATGAGTCAAGACCCCAGAGATAGCTGTGCAGATCTCATGATCTGTCAGTGCTTGTTGGAGCACGACACTGACAGCCATCGGAGTGTTCTGTATTTTGTCCTTTTTTTGAGTCTTTGGAAACTTATGACGATTGATGAAAATTGATCCCTCCCACCAAATTAAACTCTGCAGGGAGAAATCCATTTGTGTCCCCTTTCTACCAGGTGTATGCACGTTGGTACGTGTTCAACTGTTTGATTTTTGTTTTTGAGGGGTCGGGGTGAGGAAACGTGTATATTCCAATATCAAATCAAGTGTTGACGAGTTTTGCATCTTCATTGAATAGGTTTTCTTTTATAGCAAATCAGGATGTCTGTATTTATTGAAAAGGCCTGGTTAATCGATCTTTATGTTCTAATTCTAATATGGAAAGCACGTACAATTGTCAATGTTGGGATCCAAGCTACACAATTAAACATATGTTGTATGCCATAATGTAATGGAACTAAATAGAGACAGTAGACTCTATCATCTTGGTCTCAACATCTATGCTTGGAAAGCAGCCAAGACCATTTTAAAAGAAAATGCAGCTATTACACAAATAGCCTTATATGTTAAATGTATTTCTGATTTTTGCAGAACATTATTTATCATATCAGCCAAGTGTAAAGCTTAGAAAATACTTACATTTGTGCAACTAAAATCTCCATAACCATTACACAGTCTGATATAAAAATATTCTACATATGTTACAAAATTCAATCTAAATAATGTTATGATTCAAATTTACCTGATTAACTAGGGAGAAACCATTTCTCCGCCACATTCCAGCATGTACTTGCGCACACAGGACCATGCAGTGAAGTGGATGTTCTATTAACAATGGCGGGCTCAGTTCACTCTGTGGACAATCGATTTAAAAAGGTCAGCTATTGAAGCACAAATAAATGGCCAAGAATTAAATGACAACTGAAGAATATGCCTTTACAATTTCTACTCATTCAAGTGAAGTAAATCAAATGAGCTACAAAAAGGCATCAACACAGAAAATAGAATCTAGCTTTGTAGCTTTTTGCCTACACAGCTTTGGTGTTGAACTTGCTGCACAGAACTTAAAAAGCATCACAAAAACTAAATTCTGTCAAGCAAGTTTGTAATTTTTCATCTCACATACTGCAATCTGTGACCTTAGTGAACATTTTTAAGAGAAAATCTGAACATATCCACAGACATTTCGAAGAAATTCAAGTAAAAATCTTTTATGGCCGAGTCATAAAATGAAAAGTCCATAATTCTTCGTATGATTTAGGGAGGAAGAACTTATCTTTTGGCAAAGGTAGCTGCTCCTAATTGCCACCCAACGATAAGAGTAGGCCACTCAGCTGCTCAAGCCTGCACCTGTATTCAATATGAGCACAATCTCAACTTGCATTTCTGCTTATCCCTGATAATCCAGTATCTATCTATTTCTGCCCTCAAAATACTTAAAGATTTTGTATCCACTGCCCTTAGAGAAAAGGAATTCAAAAACTCTCAGCCCTCATAGTGAACAATGTTTCTTCATCTCAGTCTTAAATGGGCGCCCTCTTTCTTTTAAACCATGATCCCTAGTTTTAGATTCTCTCAAGAGGAAACATCCTTTTGACATCCACCTGGGTCACCATCGCCCAGTGATTACCTGGAGCAGTGTTCATCACAAAAGCATGAACCAAACATTATCAATTCATTTCCAAACATCACCCGTTTTACAAAATATACTTAAGTAACTAACATAGGAAAAGGTCCAGTTAAGCAGCATTGCTGCTGAGGAATTAAAACCAAATTAGTGAAAATGCACTAACATACTTTTAAGGTCAAAGAATGTGTTAATACCATACAGTTCTTTTAGTTTAACCCAGTATAAAAACGTATAACAGAGGAGGATCATGCTACATGAAGCAATTTATAAAGGTGAAGTCACGAATGCTGGAAACAGATAGCAGGTCTGAACAAATCCGAGTTTAGAATGTTCAGAGGGAAGTGAAAAGAAATAAGAAAAGCAGAGAGAGATTATGAGAAAAGATCGTCAGTGAATATTACTGAAAAGCAAAAAAAGTCTTCTCTACATAAATAAAATGTGTGAGGTGCCAACTGGAGAGCAAAAAGAGAATTTGCACATGGAGTATGGCTGAAGTGTGAAATGAATATTTTACAGCTGTCTTTACCATGGAAGAACATGCTGCACAAGTCAAGAAAACAAAAGGAGGTAGTACAGACACTTGAAAGCTTTAAAATTGACAACAAGGAGATATGAAGTAGGCTGCCTGGATTTAAAGTTGACATGGTACCAGGATTGGATGAGATGCATCTAAGGATACTGAGGGGAGTAAGTGTCTGAATTGCAGAAGTCAGAAATTTCAAATCTTCCTTTGGCAGAGTAATGGTGCTAAAGGACTGGAGAACTGTATGTTTTGTACCCTTGTTCAAATAGGGTGAAAGATGAGCTTTGTAACTACAGGCTAGTCAGTTTAATCTTGATGATGAGCAAGATGTAAAAGTGGAAATATCACTGGACAAGTAATCCAGAGGCTCAAGATGATGCTTCAGGGAATAAAAACAAAATGCTCAAGAAAAAGGTCTGGCAACATCAATACAGGGAGAACCAGAGTAAACATTTCAAGTTCAACATGAGTCATTTTATTCAAAGTTCACCATCTGTTGCTGTGGGATTCAAACTCATGTCCACACAGCAATAGTTTGGGTTTTGGAGAGGATTAATCCAGTAACATTAGCACCACATCACTGCCTTATGACAGATCGCCAGGATCCGCAGTACCTTGCATTCATTTCAATGGTCTGGGGACATGAATTTGAATCTCACATGGCAGATGGTGAAATTTGACCTCAAGTAATAAATGTGGAAATAAAATCTAGTCCAATGGTAAGCATGAAACCACTGACAGGATGTTAAAACCTATCTGGTTCACTCATATTACTTGGCAAAGGAAATCTGCTACCTTACCTAGTCCGGTCTGCATGCAACACCAGAGCCATAGCAACATAACTGACTTTTAAATGTCTTCTGAAATGGCTTAGCAAGCCACTCAGTTGTACGAGACAATTAGCAAGTTTAAAAAAGGAATTATACTGGATGACTGCCCGTCAAGAGCCGAAGCACTGGAAACGGCAATGACACACACGAGCCCGTCGATCCTGAAAAGATCTGTGCTAACATCTGGAAGTTTATGCTGAAATGAAATCAACTATCCCACAGAGTAGTCAAGCAACAGCTGACAGTTATACCCACTAACTCATAATAGACATCGCTATCACCATCCCTGGCTACGTCCTACCTTGTCCCACCAACACGGTAGACCCACCAACACGGTAGACCCACCAACACGG